CTGCTTCTCGATTAGTGTCTACTAATTCAATACTGCTGTTGTTTTGTTCTTGAGTAGAAGAATTATTATTTTTTCTTCGGCGACGAATAAGGTAATAAGTTATTCCACTAATGGTAACTACTCCGACTACTGTGCCAATCGGAATGGCGACTTTTTCAGTTAACTGGAGGTCAGATGGAGGAGTTGTTGTAGAAGCGGAAGTGGTAGTTAAAATAGAACTACTAGAAGAAGAATTACTTGGATACGGAGAAAGTGAAATAGTAGAAGTACTAGTAGGAATAGTTAAAATAGAACTACTAGAAGTAGTAGGAATATAAGTAAATGTAGAAGGATTTTTATCTGCTGATCCAGGTCAAGGAGCTGGTCATTGTAAGAAGCAACTTGCACAGAAACAACCTTCACCGCTATCATCAAGGTCAGAACATGTTCAACCATTATTGTCTCAATAACATGCTTCCAAATTCGCACAGGCAGCGTTTGAACAACTATAACGAACATAACCTTGTTCTAGACCTTCAAATTCGCTGACAGGAACAGTTGCCAAATGATTGGTTATGGCGGAGAGGGAGACATCCGCACACTCTCCTCCTAACATAGCATTAGTAGCAATAAGGTTATCTCCAATAAAACCTCTACAATAGACTAATGAATCCCTGCCACAAAATACATCTTTGTCAATTTTAGTGCAGTAAAATTTTTGGCTGGCAAAACTGCATGTTGATGAACTAGCAGAACACTGAGTGCCACCACAACAAAGAGTTAGTACCCCATTGTCATTTGTTATATTAGGATGGATAGCAAAGTTAAAGCCAAGTAAGGAATTGTAAGTAGTCGTATCATTTTCTTTATGCGCAAGGCAATTTTTAAAAGCGTTTCCTGCTTCTACTCCATTCACCGACAACCAACCCATCAAAAATAAACTAGCCATCTTTTTCTTAGTCCAAGTAGTAGGTAAATTTAACTTATTTGATTTGTTATTATTTATGTTTTCTTTAAAATTAATAGTATTTTCTTTCATTTTCTTTAATAAATATTATCCTGATAATTCAGGAATAAGAAAAGTAATTAAAGAATTTGAACTGGAAAAAACAAAAAAATATCCCACTTTGTTAGTAAAATAAAAGTGATTATTTAGAGAATTAAAGACTAATTTTGTTCTCTCTTTCTCTCTTATGTCAGTTGGGGAGTTGTTCCATGTCATATAATAATATTTTAATCTTTTTATGTAGCACCTGTATTCAGACTATATATAAAATTAAGATATAGTTTTGGAAACGAAAAATCTAAATAAGTACTTGTTCAGCAAGTTTTAGAAATTAAAAGTGCGGATATTGAACTATACTCGCATATTATTAGTTTATTATATTAAGTAATTTTAGTCCAAATCCTTGGCGAGAAACTTTTTTCAATAAAGAGAAAAGAAAGAATAACCAACGAGGAGAGAAAAAGGAATAAAAAACAAGCAAAAAACCAGTGGATGCTGGGCAATAAACCCTCACAAAAGCTGAATAGCAAGGAGCAGAAACACCAGAAAAATAATACAAAAAAAGTAGACTAAAAAAGAACCACCTTCTTGTTGGTAAAACAAGAAAGGAACTATTAAGAGAAAATTAACTAAGCCAAACCCGATACCATTAAGTAGCAAAAAAGCAAAAACAGCAATGGCTCCCAGATTAGTAGCAGCCAAGAAATAAATGGCTAATAGTGAAGCAAGGATAAAGTTAATTGCCATAAAGTAAGTAAAAATGGCGGCAAACTTGGCTACTATAACGGTTTGGCGGTCAACACTAGGAGTGAAAATGAGAACTTTTACATCTTCTTCGCGACTAATTTTCGGTATGCGAAAAAGTCGTCTTTTTTTCAATTCTTCTCAACCCAAACCACGCCCAACTAGTTGAGAAACGAGCGGCGAAATCATCGTCATTAAAATAAATAATTGCATCAGCGAACTAAATCAAAAAACGACCAATGTTTCTTGTCAACCATTAACATTTAATAACTCTTTAACTGCTTTTCCACTACTGCCTATTATAACCAGAAGGAATATAAAATAGCAAAAATAAGCCACACTTACCCAAATTTTTTTTAATAACTTAGCACAATAATAACGGTAGAGTTTGTAAAATACTGGATTTTTGAAATTAAACATAAATTAATACTAGCCTAAATCTTCCTCTTGGTACCGCAAATAATAAAGAGTAAGGAAAAAAATTCCACAAACCAAGGAAATGACGGTAAATCAAATCGGGTCAAAAAAAGTGCTTTCCGCGGTGTAAGGTCAACCGGCCGAACTAAACATTTTTATTCCTCCTCATGGCACAGGAAAGAAAGCTATTAAAAGTGAGAATATTCATTTTCAACTGCCACCAACTACGGAAGTAATGAAAAGATAAGGAGCAAAAGTTAAACCAAAGAATAAAATTGGTCCCACGATTGTAGTTATTAACGCTAACAAGGAAAACCAAAGAATGGAAGGCTGGGAAGCCAATCAGCAATAATAAATACCAAAAGGAATTAAAAATAAAACCACATTAATCAGAAAATAAAAAGTTAAAAAAGCGAAAATTTTCCCCCATAGTAAATCACTTCTTTCCACTCCCGGGGTCATAGTTAAAACCATGGCTTCCTCACCATCCTGACGAGGCGAAGAAAAAGTTTTATCAAAAACCTCAAAAATAAACCAGTATAAAACTACTGCCCCAGCCAGATTTCACCAAGCAATGTCAAAGAGTAATTTTCAAAAATTTTTCCCTTCTTTATAACCCTCAGTCTGCGAGAAAAAGAAAGCATTATTAGCTGAATAAGGTGTAGAATTTAATAAATAAATTCCATTATCTTTTGATCGGAGACCTCAAAAATACATTTTTTCCATCAAGTTTCAATCTTTCCCCTTACCCTCTTTTAAACCCTCAATTGTCTCTTCTATAATTTCCCTATCTAGCTTTTTTACCTTATCAAATCCATCTCCCCCCAATTCTCGTCGACTTATACTTGAAAAAGTAGTTGCCTCTTCTCATTTTTTTAATTTCTCTTTGTCTAGTTTCTTATAGGCTTCTTCATACTTCCTTTCTACAATGCCTTTCGATGCCTTACACACACCTCAAGGAATAACAAATCATCAGACCACTCCAATTAAAATAGTGAAAATAATAATTCTCAGTCAATTTTTTTGTCAGATTTTTCCGAAATAAAACTTATATAATTTTCCAACTTGCGACATAATTTAATTTATAATTTTATAATTCAAATAACCCTTGGCCTTTTTCAATAAAGTAATCTTCATAAGTTTGCTCGATATCCGCCGTTTTCGTGCCGGTATAAACAATTTCCCCTCGTTTAATCATAGTAATATCATCGGCTAACTTTTGCAAATCGGAAAGAATATGGGTTGACATTAAAATAGTGCCGCCTTTATCGCGAATAGCCTTTAAATTGTTAAATAAATCTTGGCGAAAACTAGGGTCTAAACCATTAAATGGCTCATCCAACAAGTAAATTTTTGGTCGATAAAGACTTAAAGTGAAAACTTGCAGGATTTTTTTCCAACCGGTTGAAAGGGAATGACAATTTTGCCGACGAAATTGGGCTAAGGGCGAACTAGCCAACTTTCGTAAAACTTCCGCTTTGGGAATATCGCGCAAATAACCACAATCCAGCAGGTAATTTTCCACCGTCAAACTCGGAAACCGCGGCTCAGCAGGAATAAAACCCAACCGTCTATTAAAGTTAGGATCGCGATTAACTGATTTGTTATCAATATAAGTTTCACCATGGGTTGGCAAAACTAAACGGGTTAAGATGCCGAGAGTGGTTGTTTTACCGGCTCCGTTAGGACCAATAAAACCATGAATAGTTCCTTTGCGGACAAAAAAGGAAACATTATTCAAAACTGTTTTATTACCGTATCTTTTACTGACTTGTTTGACTTCAATTACTTTTTCTGTCATACTTCTTGTTATTAATTTTAATTTATTTTATTAGTCTATCCATTGTTGTTAGCAAACATCATTCCGAACCGATAGTTCAACAAAATACTATTAATATATATCTTTTTCAGAATGCCCTCCTCTACTGTATTCACTAAATCAGTTCTCAAAACAAAAAAAACCAGCAAGGTAAAACTGCTCTTCCTAGTATTAGGACGAATTATCAAAAATAATTTATTATTATTTTTTTTCTGTTCTTTACTAGCAGTAATCACGGCCGTTATCAATTTTAACATTAGTGCTAACGTGAAAAATCTGCTGCTGAGTAAAGAAAAAACTTTCAGTGAGCAAGTTGTTAAAGAAGTAGAAAAGGAAGGAGGGAGAGAAAAAAAAGAAATTGAGAAAAAAAGGATAAGAGAAATATTAGTCAACCAAGCCGACGAAAACAACAAAAAACAAAAAAAAGTTAAAGAAAATATTGAAGAAAAAATAAAAGGGAGCGGTTCCTTGACAAAAAAAGACGTCAAAAAAATAATTGAAAAAGCCAGTTTAAGCGGACGAAGAATTGATCAACATAATGAGTTTGAATTTGAGTTTAACTTTTTTGGTCTACGTTGGTTAAAAAGTGATTTGAGTATTTTGGAATTTATTACCTACTCGCTAATTCTCGTTTTCCTAGTAAAAGCTTTCTTTTCGGTACTGCACTATTACTGAATGGCTTACGCTTATGACAGTGTGGAACGGGATTTAAAAAAAGATTTATTTCGTCATTTTATTCGGGCTAAATATGCTAATTCGGCGGAAGTTTCTCGCAATTTAATTACCCAATTTGCTGATGATTTAGACGAAATTGCTTATAGTATCTGATTTATTCCCAATCGGCTAATTTATGTAGCGGTTTCGCTATTTTGTTTGCTCCGGTTTGATTTTAATTTTGGTGGAGAAGGCACCACTTGACCGCTACTAATGATTGTGCTTGGCTTGTTTACATTTTTAATTATCGGAGAGATTTTATTATTCAAAAGAGCTAGCAAATTAAATATAGCGGCCAAAAAAAGGCAAGAAGAAGATAATAAAGTCATTTACGAACGAATTAATAACTTAGAGTATATTAAGACAGTTTCTGGAGAAAAGTATGAAGAAGAAATGATTGACCGGCAACTAGATTCCACTTTCCGCCAGAACAAAAAATCGCTCTGGTATAGCACCTTGTTTAAGGCTGTTCCGCAATATCTTATCATTCCGAACATTCCCATCACTTTTATGGCGTTAGTCCTACTTTTTTACTCCAAAAGTGATAAAATGGGCGGGGTCTTCCTAATCGGCAACTTTGTTCGCTATTTTTTTTCCGTAAGAAATTTAAACAATGAAATAAATAAAATAATTGAGGCTTTGTTAACTTTGGACGAACTTTCCAGCAGCCTAACCATTGTTAATGAGAGTGCCCAAGCTTTAAATCGCCAAACTGTTCGAGCGATAGTGACTACCCCCAAACCAAACCTGCCATTCCAAAACGGCGACATTATTTTTCAAAAAGTAGTTTTTGCTTACCCCAAACGGCCGCAACAAAATATTTTACGAAACTTTTCTTTCACTTTTCAACAAGGAAAAAGTTATGGTATCGCCGGGAAAAATGGCATTGGTAAAAGCACTATTACCAAAACCACTCTCAAACTTTATGACTTAAAAGCCGGGCAAATTTTCGTTGGCGAACGCAATATTCAAGAAATAGACACTATTAATCTCCACCGACACATTTGTTACCAAACTAATCGCCCCACCTTTTTCCGTTTGAGTATTGCCGAGAATGTTTATTATCCCCACAAATATAACCAAAAAGACCACAATAAATTAATTCAAGCGGCCAAAAAAACCGGTATTTATGAGTTCATTACTAAACTGCCGCAGGGATTTGATACGGTATTAAGAGAAGGAGGTAGCGACCTTTCCGAAGGACAAAAACAACAAATTTCGGCCATGAAAATCTTTATCAATGACTATAATATTTACATTTTGGATGAAATATTAAGCAATGTTCATCCGGACTTGAAAGGAATTATTTTAGGTAACATTTTTGCTAAATTAAAAGGTAAAACAGTGCTAGTAATTGACCATCACTATGAAATATTTCAATACGTTGATTACGTTTATCAATTCACTGGTGAAAGACTGATTAAAATGGATAAAAAGGAGTTTTTGGAAAATAATTAGAGCAGAAAAATTTGAGCCTTAGAAAACAAAAATGACAAAACAGTCAGTCGTCAAGAATTAGAGTTAAGAAATAATTCTGATACTGCCTCCTCAACAGTTAAACCCCAAGATAATAACAGTGCTTTATGAATAAGTTGCGGAATAGGTGGAGCTCTAATAATTACTGTAATTATCGGACTATTATTAAAAAGGAAGAACCAAATTAAAAAACACTAATTATTTCCCATAACTAACAGGACAATTAAAACAACTACTAAAAGAATAACCGAAGAAATAACGGCATAGAAAATATAAAGCAGGGAAATATTATTGCATCCTCCTTGGTTTATTTTGAATATGTTATGACCTTTCATAATTTTTTTTCTTAACTTAATTATACTAACAAATTAGTTTTTTAGGCGAAGAAAAATGACTTAATACTTCTTGAATAACCGCTTTTTTCATTTGTAGTGAATAAGTGTCGCCATTACGTACTAATTCCATCAGCATATCAAGTATTTTAAGAGAATGAGGAGTTATTTGAAATTCATCAAAAATTATTCCTTCGCCGGTGCTTCATAACAGATAAACATTTTTACCGGTACACAAATATTGAATAAGTAATTGAATTTCAAAAATCAGCAGAGCCAGTGGACTATCATTAGCCTTAATATTACTAGTTTTTAACTCAACAATATAATCGTGAAACTCCAAATCAACATAAGTAGCCAACAATTCGTCTTTGTAAAAAACGTAATGGAGTTTTTCACTGCCGAGAAAACGCCCCAGTTTTAATGATTTATCCTTTTTCAAAAAATTAACTGTTTCATGAATCCGCTTATCTAATTTACTTAACTTATTGCTCGCTGCTAAATCAACAAAAGGAGGATGATTGCCACTTTTCACGAACTCCTGAATAATGTCATGAAAATTTTTTCCTCGCTCGGCCGCTTTGAGAAGAATATACTCTGGTATTTCTTTATACTCTATTTCGCGCAAAGCCTTAGTGAGAGTACTAGCACTTAACGCTTTTTTGCCACCATGATAAGGTCATAATCTACCGGTTTTTTCTATTAACAAGAATTCAACTTCTGGTCGGAGAACTGAACTATTGTCAGTTCCATCCGGGGTTTTAGTAATTTCTGGATCGTTTAGACTTGATTCTTTATTCATAATAATTTAACAAAAGGGAAAGCAAAAAAATAAAAATCATATAAGTTATTTTAGTGGAGTGAAAATATTAAAATGCTTTGATTAATCAAAAATAATGTTAGTTGTGACAAAATCTCAATAATATAAAATAAGTAATATTAAAGAAAAATTAAATAAATAAATGTATGACAAAAATTACTAAACAAGAATTCGAAAATTGAAGTAAAGATTTTGATAAGAAGTTTGAGACTATTATTGATATGCAAATTGCTGGCGGGAAAATGACTGAGGCGGAAAAAAATCAAGCCCAAGAACTTTGCTCACTATTTAAAACTCATACTAAAGAAGGAAATCTTTTTGCTATTGCTGGTTTTGCAGATGGGTTTTTTGAAGCTTTTCCTGAGGACGAGAAAGCTAAAATTTTCCCTGATGACAATGGCTTAACCTACGAACAATGAAAGGAAAAAATTAAACGCCGATTAAAAGAGCACGTTGAAGCTTCTGGTTATTATAAACCTAACCAACCAGTTGATTTACCTACTTTAAAAGCCCGCTGAGGCAAATTAATGGATTTGATAAAAAATAAGGAATACGAAAAATTAATTCTTCACCTAAGCGAGGAAGATTATAGAGCGGTTACACTGTTAGATTTGCTTTTATCAGAAGGAAATAGAATAATTGGTGAACCAGATAAAGATAATAAAAATTCTCCCTTGGTAGAAAAACATTATTATTTGGTCGAGGATTTATGCGGAAAAGTTGAAGCCGCTCAACAGAAATTAGAAAAAGCAGAGAGAGAGAGACAACCCCAACCATTCTCCCACTATCCCTAACTCTCCAAAACAGAATAACGACCAAATAAGTAAATTAGAAGCCGAAAAAAAGCAATTAGAAACTAAAAACCAAAAATTAGAACAACAACTAGCCAATAGTAATTTGAGTGAAACCGAAAAAAAACTGAAAGAGCAGGAATTAGCAAATAGTAAAAAACTACTCCAAGAAAAAGAACAAGAATTAGCCAAATTACGAAAGCAACAGCCAAATAATCCAACTAATACTGGTAATAATAAAGATAATAGCAAAGTCAACTTAGCCATTGGTCTTGGAATTGTGGCCGCGGTTATTGGCTTGCTCTGCTTTATCCTTTTACTGCGAAAGAAAAACAAGCATTAATTTCCGCTCCCTACTAAATACTGTTTGTCTATTTCATCCAAAAAAGGTGAATATAATTCTTGACTACTAATTAAATAAAGAAATCTTTTCGCTCGCGTTATCCCGACATAAAATAATCGTTTTTCCTCAGTCAGGTCTTGGGTTTCTTTGTACGGGAGCGTTCCTTGGTCTAAATAAACAAAAAATACTACTTCAAATTCTAATCCTTTGGCTTGGTGCACCGAAGAAAGTATTAAATTATTACGGGTTTTAATTAATTTCTTATCTTCAAAAGCGATAATAATCCACCGGCAGAAAGAATTAACTAATTCATTTAAATTGGGATACTCTTTTTTGCGTTTGTTTTCCCAATTTTGGGCAATATTAAGAAATTGTTGGACGTTTTTTTCTCGTTCGGCCGAATTAATTCGCGTTTTTAAATGTTCCCAATAATTAAAATCATTAAGCACACTGAGAAGAAAAGTACTCAGGGAAATCTTTTGTTCTAATTTTTCTTTCCATTTGTTAATTTTCAGAATAACCGCACCAATTCTTTCTACTTGTTCGGTGCCAATTTTTTCGGCACTTAAATTGGTAATGGTAGCAAAATTATTTAAGTAATTAAAGATACTAATCCGCTCTTTTTCACTGTTTTGCTCGATTTTTTCAATCGTGCGTGCTCCAATTTTTTCTTGCAGTCCTAATATTCTTAATAAGGAAACATTATCTTGATAGATAATTGTCCGTAAAAAAGACAAGACATCTTTAATTTCCTCCCGCTCAATAAATTTGAACGAGCCTAATATTTCATAAGGTATTCTTTGAGCGACTAATTCTTGTTCAATACGGGTGGAAAGATAATTATTGCGGTAGAGAATAGCAACATCGCTAAAAGTCAGTTTCTCCCTCAGCAGTAATAAACGAACTTGCCGAACCAGGTAACGGATTGAGGTTCGGACCAAAAAATTAATTTTTACTCCCTCCGACTTGGAAGTATTTAAAAGGTTATTAACTAAAATAGACTGGTTTTTTTGAACAAAAGAATTGGATAAATGGAGAATATTACTAGTTGACCGATAATTAGTATTAAGATAGATAGTTTTTCACTCCTTATTTTTGGCAAAAGAAGAAATTAATTCCGGCGTGGCACCTTGAAAACCATAAATAGCTTGGTTGGGGTCACCCACCAAAAAAACATTCTGCTTACTACCCAGAATTAGTTTAATCACTTGTCATTGAATCCCATTAATATCTTGAAATTCGTCTAAGAGTATATGAGTAAATTGCTTTTGGTATTCTTGACAAACTTGCGGATGATAATTAAACAGAGCAATAGTATAAAGAAGTAAGTCGTTAAAATCTAGTGCTTTGTTAGTTTTTAAATAATCTTCGTATTTTTGGTAGATTTCATACCTAGTTTTGGTTAACTCATCAAATTGCAGTGGGTCAGCAGCTAGTTTACCATTTTTTCAGCCACTAATATAAGCTAGAATAGTATTTATTTCTTTTTTTTCGGCATTATAATTATTCTGATAAAGTATTTTGCGGATTATTGTTTCTTGCTCGTGGCGGTCATAAACCGGAAATTTACTATCGGGAAAACCTAACAAATGGGAATATTTATTAAGAACATGAAAACAAAAAGAATGAAAGTTATAAATATGCACATCCTTGGGAGAAACGGTAGTAATATGAGAAAAAACCCGCTTTTTTATTTCTTTAATGGCCTTTTTAGCAAAAGTTAAAACCAGTATATTTTGGGGTTGGGCTTTTTGACTGGATAAGAGATAAATAAGTCGACTGACCAGGGTTTTAGTTTTGCCACAACCCGGTCCAGCAATAACACATATTCGAGGATGTTCTTCATAGACCGCTTGTTTTTGTTGTTCATTTAGTTCTTGGAGAAATTCCATTCTTATTTAATCTTTTTTTTGGAAAATCCAGAAACAATAAATCCATTTCCTTAATTTTTTAGAGTTTAATTAATGAGATATCAAGTACAGTTATGTAATTAAAGGCGGTAATTTCCAGGAGGGCCTCCTCTAAAACGATAGCGATTTTCTATCTGCGCTTCTAACTCGGCTTACTCCTTTTCTCTTACCACTCTTTTAAACTCACTTTTCAAATATTCAATTTTCTCAGTAGTAGTCTTTCCGTTTCAATTATAAGCTTTAGTGACAGAAGCTAAATTATAAAACGATTCTTTGCTGAATCAATATAAGAGCTTCCGCTTCTCATTATTCGATCCATTGTTCTACGATTTTCATCTCTTAAATTACTAATTTCTCTATCACTATTTTCTCTAACTCGTCTTATTTCTAACTCTTTGCTATTGCCCAACTCTCTAATCTCTCTTTCGCCTTTTTTGCGAACTTCATTAATTTGTTTATTCATTCTTTCAGTTTGTTCTCTCATTAGTCTTTCTTTTTCGGCTATTTCTTTTTCTAATTTTTCTTTATCACTCATATAATTACCAATCCTTTGATTTAAATTGCCCAAATTATTTGGCTTGTAAACGGTTTGACAAGCTCCTAAGTGAGTTAGTAATATTTGTCTTGACTCTTCTCGGATCTCTTTGGCTAATTCTATCGCTTTGGGATGACCAGCCATCGGTGGATTGTCGACATAAATAATTCTCGCTGAGTTAACTATATTAGAAAGCCTCGAATTTTCTTTTCGCATTGCTTCACGGTCTTTTTGGCATGCCGTTTCATCATCAAAATTCGGGAAATTAGTCCTTATAATTGTTGTAAAATTAACGACTTTGCTATCAAATATAACTGAACTCAATAACCTGTACGCTTCTTCCTCCTTCTCAGTAAAACGACCACCACTCACGAAAAATATTTGATTTAAGCCTTCTCCGATATGACTAGCCGCTTCCGCTAAACGATAAAGAACTCCTTGGGTAGTTAGTTGAGTATCGCCAATACCGACGGTGTCAATTATTATCATTTCTAGTTTTTCATTGCCGTCTTTGTCTAAATCTATTTCTGCTTTCTCAATATGAATATTTCTTGTCTCACTTATGCTCCCCGCACTCTCTTTAAAAACTTCTTCGAAATTTTTATTTTTGTTTAAAAGCACATTAGCCAGAGTAGATTTGCCATTGCCGGTGCTGCCTATTAATATTATTCTTTTTTTATTTGCCATAATTGCAATATTTTGTTATTATCTTGTCTTATTTTTCTTTCTATTCCCACTAATGATGAGTAATAAAAAAGCAATACCCACTACCAAGCCTACTCCGCCTCATATAAAAAAACTCTTGGGGGGAAAAGGGTTGTCACTTTTTGTTGGATTACTTTTTGTTGGAATGTTTTGCTTAATCTCCTCCATCCTCTTTTGTAATTTATCAGCCTCGACTGGTTTATTTTTACTTCTTAAATTGTCAACTTCTTTTTGCAATTCATCTGCTCGCTTTTGTGAGTTTTCACTTTCGAACCTTATTTCTTCTTCATTTTCTTTATTATGATCGTCATTATCTCCGTTATCGGTTGGCGGTGGATTATCAGTTGGCGGATTTTGTCTCCGAACTTTTTCTTTAATCAAACATTTCCTAATTTTAGCAATTCATTCCTCATTTTCGTTGATTTTTTTTTCGGCTCAAATATCAGGAAAGAGCGACCCCAAAATCATGTAACCTTGGGAGGATTCATCACAAGCTAGTAGTGTTAAATCTATTTCTTCATCGGTCGGTTGGTAACCTTCACAGAAAGCTAAGTAAAATTTTCCGAGTTTGCTATTAAGTGCGAAAAAAATACTCGTTGCTAAGGGGAGTTCGTCAAATTTCCTTCCGTTTATCCCTTCTCAATCGTCACTATTAATCCCTTCAAAAATGATTTCTTTGGTTTTAAAATAAACATCTTTTAATTCTTGGGGAGAGGAAGAGTTTTTAACAACCTTTAATATTTCTTCCAATTCTTTTTTTGCACTAATCATAATTATATATTATAAACTAATCATTGCATCCTCCTTTTGGCTTTTTTTGGTAATTATTACTCATGTCGTCTCTTACCAGATCGATTATCTTACTGGCTTGTTCTATTTGTGCTTTAAGTTCCCCCCTTTCTTTATCTCATTTATCCTCGTTAATCTTTTGTTTATCTTCCAACACTTTATTTTCGGCTTTAGCAAGTTTTTCTTGTAATTCCATTTCTCGTCGTAATCCCGCTTCTTTATTTTCTAATTCTTTGCTTGCCCTTGCTTCGATAATTTCCTTATCCTTCCTTGCCCTTTCTTCCGCATCGGCTCGGTTTTTCTCTATTAATTCCATTAATTTTGCAGTCAAATTACCCTGACTTTGGGCGTCTCTTATTCTTCTATCGGCATCTTCTTTGGCTTCTCTTATCTTCTTATCGCAATCATCGCTAATTTCTTTCATTTTTTCGATTTGTTGCTTACTAAGATTATCTATTTTTTCTTGAAGTTTTTCTCCCTGCTCTTTCATCGCTTTATCCTTTTCTTTCAATTCCGCCTCTAATTTCTCTTTTTCAGTTTTGTAATTATTAATTCGTTCATTCATTTGAACTAGATTTTCCGGTCGATAATTCCCTTGACAAGTCCCTAAGAGAGTTAATAATATTTCTCTCGAAACTTCTCTCGTTTCTTCATTTACAGCATTTCGACGAGCATTGCCAGTATTTATTGGTGGATTATCAACATAAATAATTCTTGCTAAATTGATTATATCAAACAATTCCCCATTTTCTCTTCTTAATGCCTGACGGTCTCTTTCGCAAGCATTTTCACTCTCGAATTCAGGAAAATTAGTTCTTATGATTGTTGTGTATCTAGATACTTCATTATCAAAAATAACTGACCTTAGTAACTTATAAGCAATTCTTTCTTCTTCAGTAAATCTTCCATTAGTTATAAATAAAATCTGACTTAAACCTTGTTCGAGATATTCCTTCGCTTCTTGAATTGTTCCCAAAACTGCCCGTGGAGTTAATCGAGTATCCCCTATTCCTACTGTATCAATTACTCGATACCTTATTTTTTCGCTACCATCCTGCGTTATATTTTCTTCAAACTCTGCAACTTCAATTCTGCGAGTTTCACTTACACTATCAGCACTTTCTCTAAATCTATTATTCCCACTTATTACATTAGCCAATGTTGATTTTCCGTTTCCTGTTCTGCCAATTAGCAGTATATTTCTTGTATTTACCATAAGTTTTTTATTTAATTTATGTTATGCTTAGTTAAAAATTTTATTATCTTAACCTTTCCCTAATTCAGCCACTAACTATTTTATGTTTCGATAATTTATCTAATTAGACAAATCCAAAAAGGACAGTCTTTTTTGATGACTTTATCCATATAAGTAATATTATTAAGAAAATTACTTATATATTAATTTTATACTCATAAAGGTTGACCCCCGCGGTATGTTAAAACACTCCGGAATTAGTTCAAGAATGGCAAAGACATAGTTTTGATTATGAGGAAATAAGGTTTTAGTTTTGCCACAACTCGGTCCGGCAATAACACATATTCAGGGGTGTTCTTCATAGACCGCTTGTTTTTGTTGTTCATTTACTAAACTTGTTTGTAATCATGAGTTTCGGTGTTTGTTTTTTATCTTGTTGTTATTTCAAGATGCAGAATTTTGTCAGCAATCTTTTTTATAAAATAACGATCGTGGGACACGGCGATAACCAGACCAGGAAATGATAAAAGTTGATTTTCGATTTGTTCGAGACTCATTAAATCTAAATGATTAGTAGGTTCATCGAGCAGCAAAACATCTACCCCTTCCGCAATCATTTGTGCTAATTGGGCTTTGCGCCGACAACCAATGCTTAAATCTTTTAACGGACTAAAAAAATCATGTTCATAATAAAGACCAAACTGCTTTAAATGGCCAATTATCGCACCTTGCGTCGAGAAAATTTTACTGCGACCTTGGATAAGTTCAATAGGAGTTTTTTCCAGATCGAGATATTTTTGCTCTTGATCTAAAAATCCCACCGCGGCATTTTTTGATAAACTAATTGAACCATTATCCGGTTCACGCAAACCACAAATAATCTCGAATAATGTAGTTTTGCCCGCGCCATTTTTTCCCGTGATGACAAGACGATCTTGGAAACCAAGATTAAAACTTATCCCAGCAAATAAAGGATGCTTTGCTAGATTAATTACAGATAGATTGACATTAGTTTTTATTTTTTCATTAAAGACAATGTGGGGTATTTTACGAGCTTGGGAAACATCAACCATATCTTTTTTGAGTCGCTTAATTTTCTTTTTAACTTGTAGTGAAGCGGCATAACCAAGAGCATCTTGTTTTTTCCTAAGGACAGCTATATTTTTTTCTTGTTTTTCCAACAATGCTTGCGAACGTTCCTGATTTTGTTTTTGTTGTTCTAAGTAAAATTTATGTCCTCCGCGAAAACGTATGAGTTTATGGGTAAAAGGACACAATTCGGCAATTTTACTCCCAGTGTTATTAATAAGAGCCCGGTCATGAGTCACCATTATTGCTATGCCTTGATGTCGTCTAATAAAATTCTCAATCCAATCACATCCTTTATTATCAAGGTGGTTGGTTGGTTCATCAAGCAACAAAATGTCTGTGTCGGCATGGGCTAATCCACTCAGATGTACTTTAACTTTTTCCCCGCCACTGAGTTCAAAAAATTCTCGCTCAAAATACTCTTTGGTAAAACCAAACTTATAAAAGGTTTTTAGCAGAGGATTGCCGCCTAAACTATTAAACTCTTGAAACCAAGCGTCTGAACGTTTTTTAAAAGGTATTTCCGCAAGTTTTATCAATTGTGAACTTTGGGAAGCATAAATAAGGTGGTCGAGAGTGGACTGATTTTTAAAATTCTCAAAAGATTGGGGAAGATATCCAATTTTACCGCACGTATTAATTTGTCCAGATTGACCATAATCTTTACCAGCCAGTAAATTAATAAGGGTTGATTTACCCGAACCATTATCACCAACAATGGTAATTTTATCGCCATTTTGCCAGCAAAAGTTTAAATTATCAAAAAGAATTTTATGTCCAAAACTTAATGATAAATCTTTTATGTTAATTCTTGCAGAGGCTGGCATATAAGTATTCAAACAAATTTTTTATGAGAGGAAATTAAAAGTAGACAAAATTTCCTAAGGGCGCAGAACTTAAAAAAAAATAATATTCTTTAAGATGTATAGAATTTTTTATAACTTGACCTTAAATAATAATCTTTATTACCCAAGAATTTGATTATATGTAATTTTGAACTATCCATACCACAATTTAACTCTAAAACAGCGTGTAATCCTATGGCTAATTGCTTTAATTGTTTTTCGTTCAAAACTCCCATTTTTCTTTCTAATCTGCTTTTATCCACAGTATAAATTTGGTCGGTAATAATTTTGCTTGGTTTACTTTCTACTTCTATCCACTTCAAAAAAATAAACTTTATCTATTTGGGAAGTAATTAAAGCAACAATCACTGCTCCGCTAAATTGATTTTGTTTATTATTGGAGATAATTTTCCTCATTTTCTTCTTTCTTTTCTTCAATATTAACTCAATAAATTTCTCCTCGTTCTAAATAACCGCTCTGCCATATTTATTTAATTTTCTTTCTTAAATCAGATAAGGTGGCTTTTTCTCATTCCTTAGTTAATTTTCAGCGCTTTTTATCTTGGGCGATTTCTTGATAGGCTAATTCTAACTCTTGCTCTTTTTGGGCTAATTTTTCAGTGCGGGTTCTTTCCACAAATTCACTGATTTTTCCTTTACCAATTTGGCTTTTTAATTGCTGATAAAAATGAGTATTAATTTTAGCACTTAAAACTTGTTTACTTTTCATAATAATATATTTTTTAATATAGATAGTTTCAGACTTCATTTTTGTCTATATGCCAAAATGATATGAAAGAAACTAATAATAAAGTCCACAGGACTATAAAAGAAAATACAAAGGAACTCCATCCTAACGGAGAAAAAAGGTTGATAACTTTAACTGGCATAACCACCAGCCAAATCAACCAAGCCTTAAAGGCTGACAATCCTTATCCAGCCCGAGTATTTTTAAAAACTGACAACCAAGAGCAGGATATTCCAGTATTTTTCCGAATAAAAGAAAACTGCCAATTTCACTCTCATTGCTCGGAAGACTGCCGTTATAAGAAAGACAATTGAATAAGACCCAAAATAAAAACAGGTTCTTATTTACAAGTAGAAGGCTATTTTGCTAATTCTAATGAAAATCAAAGAAAATCCTTCACAGCCTATTCCTATTCTCTTTTAAACCAAGAAGCCAAGGAGGTAATGAAAAGTTATGAACGATAAAAAAATTCACGAGCTAATTGGTCGAATTAGGGATAAAGAAAGAGAAAAGGTCTATACTGGTAAGTTTGCTGGAACTTATTATTACCTTCTGAATACGACTATTGAAAATAAAGAAGTCCCCAAGATTTTTGCTTTTAAAGACAAAATCGAAACTGAAAGCATTTGAAAAGACATTGAAGAAGCTAATTATATTGATAAAAGATATCTTTTTTATTGTGAAAGAAGAAAAGGAGGTTTTGCTTTAAGAAATTGAAAGGAGTTAAATAACCATGGGAGCAACTAGTAATATTAAAGAGACTAATATTAGTCTACAATTAGAAGGTAAAATATGCCCTCAATGTCAACAAGTATTTACCCAAGAGGAAATTGATAATGGAAACTATGACTTTTGATTTGACACGACCAACGATGTCAAGTTAATTGAAATGAAAAAGATTGAAAAAAAGTTTGACAAGTTGGAATTAATGAACTTTAACGATAATTATTTTGACCTGTTATATTATCCATTTGGACGAACAGGTTATCAGTTCTCCATCTGAATTAGAAGCATTGAACATGAAAACTGTCCTGACACTACCACTTGTCAACATTGTGATAGTCGTTTTTTAACTAAGCAAATGAAAGAATATGAAAGAAATACTTACTGCCAAGCTTGCTACATTCATTTAATTAATCGAAAGGAAAGCCATGAATAATCTAACTGTAATAATCTTAATCTTAACTATTTTTAACACAATCTTTAATTTTTGCTTACTCTATTACTTAGTCAATCGATTTTGTGTCGATTGCCAAAAGAAAATTGAATGAAAAAGATTTTTTAAATTAAAAGACCAGTGTGAAAGATGCTCGGAAAGAAAATGAACGAAATTTTAAAAACTATGAACCAATTCAAATACAACTATCTAACAAACGAATGCTGATTTGATAATCGGCTACTCACGGATACCTTTACTACTCAATTTAACGGACAAGGTTTTACAATTGATAATCCAGCTCATTGAATCACTTTTACCATTTATGAAAGCAAAATCAGAGCTTTTTATAAACATTCCCGAGATGATAACCTAACTATTTACTACCAACAAGATTGTTCTAAGCAAGAAACTATTGAATTAACTTTCACTTATTTAGATATTGTGGAAAAGATAAATGGTAAGTGAAAATACCGAAACAAATAACATATGAACAAGAAAATTAACCAACTAAATAAGCAGTGCCAATACAACTATCCGAACTGTCAAAAAACAGCTATCGGTCAGCACATTCTTAAATTAGGAGCCGTGACCATTGATAAAGGCTGAATTTGTGCTAATTGTCAACAAGCAATCGAAAAAGAACGAAAAGAAACTAAATAATTATGAACAAACTCAACTTAAACCCTTATATAAACTGATTAAAAGATAGAAATCGAAGTCTAAACACTATTAACATCTATACCCAAGCTTTACAGTATTTTTTTCAGGTTAACCCTACTCTTGATACGGAGACTATTCGAAGTTATCTAAAAACTAACCTCACTAAATATCAACCCAATACTCTCAAAATCTTTCGACAATCCCTCTCCTCTTATGCTAAATTTCAAAGGTTAGAAATAGAGTGAGAAAGAATAAATGGGATAATTCCCAAAATGGGCAGAAAGTTTTTTGATATTCTTACTCCCCAAGAGTTAGAACAGTTAAAGCAAGCCCAAGTGGAAAGAAACCAAAAGACTTATCAACGAAATAATCTAATCTTTGATTTTCTTTTTTATTCAGGATTAAGAGTAAGTGAATTAGTGAATATCAAACATTCTGATTGACAAGGAAAAAGTCTACAAGTATGAGGAAAAGGAAACAAAATTAGATCCGTGCTTTTGCCTCCTTTTTTAGTTAAGCAGTTTAATCCTAGTTTAAATAACTACCTTTTTACTAATCAAAAAAAACAGCCTTTATCACCCTTAGTCATTCGGCAAATTATCCAACAAAGATTAAAAAAGGCAGGAATTGATAAACCGATTACTCCTCATTCTTTTAGAAGGAGCTTTGCTACTCATTTACATAATAAGAAAGCCCACTTAACCACTATCCAAATGTTATTAGGTCATGAAAGTATTACCACCACCGAGAAGTATATTCATAATGATTTCGATTATATTTATGCTGATTATAGTAAATTGTGAAGAGAAACCGAAGCTATTTAGGTCTTTTGCTGGTTAGACCTTAAAGAAATCAAAAATGTGGGGAAACTGACCCTAAAAGTCAAATTCTCCTAAAAGACCAAAAAAAGTTAAACAAAAACTAGGTTTAATCCTAGATTGCCAAGTGTTTTTAACAACTAGCAACTGCTATTCCACTTTTCAAAAGGATAAAGCAGAGGGGTTCAAAGGAAACCTAGAAAGTCGTAAGACCGAAATACCTTTGGCATGTTCACTTTTATATTAATTTTTTGTATGTCCAGCAGGACATTTTTTTTATTTAATAAAGAAGTTAAGCATGTTCTCTACTTCCCTTTATATTTAAAATGGGACTTAACATTTTTCCTAATATACATACACGCATGAGAAACCTAAAACCTAGTGAGAAACAATTCTTAAAGTATTTTGATCGAGATTATATTCGTTTACCAGTTAATCAAGAGAAAAAAGCTTTGGTTAAGAATTGAAACACTTATAATGGTAATTATCACAAAGAAAAAAGAAATATTAAACAATTACTAACTCAATATCAAACTTATGCTTTACGAACTGGAAAAAGATTAGGCAATGATTATTATTTTATTGTTTTAGATTTAGATCGGAATTATTGAGGTCAGCAAATTTGAGAATTAGGAATAGCTTGAATTAGCACTAAAAGAGGAGGACACATTTATATTCTGATTAAAGAATTACCTTCTAATGGTCTTTTATTTAACCAAACTAAACAAAAAATCGGAGAAATCCAAAGCCAAGGTAAATATGTAATTGGTTTAGGTTCATTTCACCAAACTGGAATTCGTTATAATCGAGAAAGAAATAAAGCTAGTAAATGGTGATGGAAATTTGAAAATATAAAAGAAATGGAGGAACTTTTGTTAGAAAAAGGAATTTTTTGTCAGTTTAAGCAGTCAAAAAATAACTAAAAAAATGCTTTTTTTTGCTGGCTAATATATTCAGCCTTAAAAAGCTGTTATCCTCTCTTCTCTAAGTTGCTAAAAAGGATTTATATAGTTAAAACCATGACTGAAAAAAACTTAACTATTCATGATTTTTGAAAAGATAAAAATAGCAAAAGGGAAAAGTGAACCATCACCAAGCAAGAAATCTGATTAGTTGAAAACGGAGAAAAGATTAAATTAATTGGCAAAAGTGAAAATACTTACCAAGAACTAATTAGGGAAAAAAAGTAATATGGCAGAAGAACAAAAAATCGAATTAACCGAAACTAGTAATGCCGAAGAAATTGAGGCTACTTCTCTTAAATACGAAGAAAAATTAAAAAAGGAACGAGAAGAAAAGAAAGTTAATTTAAATGCTTATTTAAAAGAAAAACAAAAGAGAATAGATGTGGAAGAAGAAAATAATCGTTTAAAAGAAAAATTAGAAAAGAAAACTATGGAAGGTTTACGAGAAAAAGAATTAGACAGAAAAACCCAAAGAGAACAGAATAATTTATTAAATGTTTTGTTTGGTAAATAATATTTGGCCCAGTTTTTTCCAATCTACTTCTGGGCCTTACAAATTAAAAAGGTAAGGTCGGATTTGTTCAGCTGAGCAAATAAAAAAAGTAGATTGGTGTAAAAATATAAGTATAAAGTAGATTGTTAAAAAGTAGTTTGGAAATTTAACTAAACTATGACAATTGAAAAAAACGACTATTTAAAAGTATTAGAAAATAAAGTGGTCTATGATAGGACCTTTAAAATGTTGGAAACGAATGAAGATAGTCTCTGAAATCGTTTCTTTCGCACTAACAATATCCAAGTAGCAGGGAGAGCAGTTGAGTTTTTACTTACCTGACCTAAAAATGGTCCCGATTGAAAACCTGACTTATCCATCCATAAAGGAGAAGATTTTAAAAGAGAAGTTAATGTTATTCCTTTCCGTTTAGGAAGGATAATGGATACTGTCGAATATGAAATCACTAACGAAGAAAGATTTGAGGAAGCTTTGGAGAGTGAAACAGCTTGTAAAGAATTTACCCAAACCTTAATTGAACAAACAGCCGAAAACATTGATTTACGATTAGAGGATAAAATTCCCCAATTAATTTGTAATGATGAAAACTTTATTGAAAATCAAAACCTTTTCACCAAAGATACTGATTTTTGAAACAATCCCTTAGCTATGCTCCAAGAGTTATTTAACGGCTCTTCTATTTTAAAAAAAAAGAGTAATCAGTTTAATAAAGGTTATCCCCAAGACCCTGATGATAAAAGTTCTGATTACACTCCAATGGAAACCAAGATTAGGAGCTATAAAAAAATGATCTGCTTGATTGACAGCAAAGCCAAAAACACTATTGACATTGGAGGCTACAAAGATAATGTTAATTTCCCAGCTTTGGATTTAGAAAAAAGATTTGGAGCTGAAAATGTTTTAGAGGACAATTTACCAAATAATTACGGTATGCTAGTTTTTGACGAAAGATGCTTACAGTTATACAAAAGAGGAAAACAAAAAGGTTTTCGTCATAAAGAAGAAGCTGAAAATGGTAATCAGTGGCTATTTTTAAACCCTGTTATCCATGGTGGTTTTATCACAGCTTTTAATGCTATGGCTTGGAAGTATCCCACTGCCCAAGAAGAATTTGGAGGGGGAGAATAATCCAAGAATATGCTATTATGAACCAAGAAAAATTTGTCCGTGGCTGGTGAAAACAAGCCCAAAAGCAAGACACTATTTTAACTAAACCTGTTATTAGAAGGAAATTACAAGAGCAAGTTCAAGAACTCAATAAAAAATTATCTCCAATTAAACTCGAAAATAAAGAATTAAAAGACAAATTAAAAAAGGTTTGAGAGGATATTGAAGGTTATTTAGCCAAATATAAGGTTAAAACCTTTTTAGAACTAACCAAACTAATCCAGCAAGGACAAAAAAGCCAAGCCTTACAACCTTTATTGGAGAAAAAAATAGCTGACTTAGAATCTCAATTATTAAATTTAGCCAAGCAAAAAATCAAAGGCAAAAAAGAGGCTGAGGAATTAGTCAATAACTTAGAAAAAAACTGACAACGGAATAAAACCATCTGAGAAAAGGAAGCAGAAATCTCGGTTCTTAGAGTTCAAGAAAAAGATAAACAAATAAATAATTTTGAAAGAGGAGAAAATAGAGAAAGCCAACGAATAACTAATAGTGAAAAGCCTTATTCGACCATTGATTTATTACATGGTGATTATGGCCATATCCAAGATAGGGCTGATTGACTATCAACCGAAGCCAAAGTAGACACAGGTTATATTGGAGTAGAAAAAGACAAAGATGGTAATATTGTCATGGGAGAAGATGGTAAACCCAACAAAATCATTAATCCTAATTGAAATAAACGAACAGGCAGAAGCCGAAATAAAGATTACTCTCACAAAACCGACCGAACCAAAGAAAACAGCAAAGAAACAGATCATGGCATTATTGACAAAACTATTTATACCCAAGAGCAACCTATTCTTATTCAACAATTAGCTCGAATTATTCCTAGTTACAGTTTAGTAGAAAGTGATTTAGAAGATTTAACCGATTTTTCTTATCTTTTTCATACTGTTTGAGTTCCCCAAGGAGAATTTGTGTTTAATTCTCAGACTTGAAGTTGAGATTACCTGACCCGAGAGGAAATTAAGCAAATTGAAGAGAAAAAAGAAGATAAGAAAAAACTGCCAAGAGTGAAAGATACCGATGCTGATTTATCTTTTGATGAATGACAAGAAATCTATAATGAACAAGAGCAACCAGTCATGCCAACTTGGTATTTAGAAAGATTATACCGATACAAAAAACGAATTGGTAAGAAAACTAATAAAGATGAAACTGACCAAGCAAGATTAGAATTATGTGAAACTTTATTAAATGCCTTTTACCGAGAACCTTACTGACCTCCGTTAGAAGAATTTGAAAAGATTATGGGAACTCCTCCCGAATGAGAAGGAAGAGTAATTGGCTTTAACGAATTTAAGTCTACTTGACATGAAGCTTTACAAACTGCTGAACATTTTCGGAAGCAAGGAGTAAGATTACCTCAAATCTTTTACGTTCTGCTAGGTAAGCCTGGGGTCGGTAAAAGTGAGATTAGTCAAAGATTAGCCCAAGCTCTCAAAAGACCAATCCAAATTATTAATGTGGGAGGAATGGATGATGGAGGAGAATTAGAAGGCAAACGAGCTACTTTACAAAGTGCTAACTATGGGAAAATGATGGAAGCTTTTGTGGAAAGAAGTTTTTTAGCTGAAATAACTATTGAGGACTTGGAGAGAGAAATCCAAGAAATTAAAACTAGAAAGGAAACTATTAATCAAGGAACCGATAATCAAAAAGTAATTGTAGTAGAAAGAAAACCCGAAACCATTACCGAATGAGAAGAAGAGAGAATTGAAAAGCTGGAAGAAGAAATTGCTGACTGAAAAGCTGATAATTCCAAGAGAATTAAAGAAGGTAAAGAGCCACGAAAAACCAAGAAAAAGGCTTATCGTTCCCGAAGTCCTGTTATTCTTTTGGATGAATTTGAAAAAGCTAGTCGAGAGGATATTTTAAATGTGATTGGTAAAATCACTGACCGAGAACTTAATTACACTTTCTTAGATAAGTATTTTAATTTTAATTTAGATATTAGCCAAGCTGTTATTTTATTGACAGCTAACTATTTAGAAAAAGTGCCTCAATTCGTTCAAGACCGAGGAGAACCTGTCAATATTGAGTTATTAAGTTATGCCCAAAGAAAGAGAATATTGGAGATTATCTCGACTATCTATTGTCGAACTTACGGAATAGCTCATTTAAGAAATAAGATTAGTGATAAGTTTTTAGAAATGTGTATTACTGAAACTTGGGGAATTCGAGGAGGAATGAATAATCTCCAAAAGGTTATGCTCTTTTTAGTAGGTTTAGAAGTCAAAGGTTGAAGTGGAGAATTAGAGGATTTGGCTGATTATGATGAGATTTGAGAAACTTCCGAAGAGGATTATAAGAAAAAAGAAAGTGGAGTAATCAAACTAACTTATTTTATTAAGGGTGAAGCAAGACATTTAACTCTAACCAAAAGGATTGGAATTGAAAAGAGAACCATTAAAGATCCTGATGACCCTTTGGGAGAAAAAGAGAAAGTGATTAAGGAAATCATCACTGGCACTGACATAGAAACAGACAAACCTTTCGTGGAAGACTGACCCGAAGAATATTGGTGAGGAGGAAGTCCTGTGAGGGAAGCATAAAATTATGAGAATTTACACTAAATGTCCCTGTTGTGGCAAAACTATCTTTTTAGTAATGGAAATGGAGTTGGGGAGTAGTTTTGGCTCAACCTATCAACAAAATCCTTCTAATGACTGGCAATGTTTAAATAATTTTCTTAATTGCTTACAAACTAGCCAAGGACAAAAAGTTTATTTAGGAGTTAATGAGAGGGAAGAAACCAAGATACCCGAAGAATTTAAAGAACTAATCCTCAATTGAACCGAAAGAGGATATAAAAAGCCTGAGGGAAAGAAAACTAGTGGTGGAGGAAATAAAGAAAATAGTGGTAATTCAGGCTTTAAACAAAGTGGTGGTTATCATGACGGAAAAGATTGGTTTAATATTCACGAAGACTTTCATCCTCAGTTAGAAAGTAGCAGAAAGAAAACTCGAGGAGAAACCTTAAAAGAACAATGAATAAAAGCAGGCTTTACTTATTCCCAAGTTAAGGAATGAATAAATATTGGTCTAAAATCTTATGAAATTGATTATGCTACTTGGTTAAGAGATAAAAAGAAAGTTAGCCCTGATTGAGTTTTAAATTATGGAGATGATACCCGATTAAGAAAGGAATATCAGGATAGTTTGCCGACTAATTGGGAATAATGATAAAGTTTAGGAACAAGAAAATATTAACCTAAAACACCTAAAATTTAATTATAAAGTAGATTGGTTCACTAATCTACATGAATGTAAATAAAAAAGTCTTACAAACTACTAACGAAAATAAAATAACTCAAAAGGATATTTTCACAAGGAGTAAATTTTGAGAAAAGCCTGTCAATGAAATCACTTTACCGAATGGAGTAAAGCAAAAAGAAGAAAATTTGGATTACCGAGATGTAGTAATTTATACTAAATGGCAATGATGACAAAAAGATTATAAATTCTTACCTACTCCTGATAAATTTGTTAAAATCAAAGAGCAATTTATTAATGAAGTTTGGGGAACTCTCGAAAAACAAAACTACTATCTATTAAGAAGCAAAAATAACACCTTTACTATTATTCTTCAAAATCGGGGACAATATGATTTTGCTGACCCTCGAATTGTGTTATTTTTTGGTCGGAATACTAATGACTCTGAAAGCAAAAGAAAAAATGAGAAAGCAGGACGGAAAGGAGTAGAATTTCCTCAGTTGTTTTGAATTACTAGTTGAGATTATATTAACACGAAAAATTTACTAGTTCAGTTAACAGTCAGCAAAGACCCTATTTGAGCTAATTATGGAGATATGATGAATAGTAAAGGAACAGCCAAAATCTATCATAGTCAATTCAACAATGACCACTTAAACAAACAGGGGCAGGTAATCAAAAATCAAACGGAACATTGACCATCAGATGAAGACTGAAACCAGCAAGACGAGCATATTTGTCCAGCTTGTAATAATTGCTATGATTTTTGTGGTGATTTAAGAAATAAGAGAGCTGTTCCAGTTGGCTATCTTAAACCAAGTTATCCAAAATGGCAACCAAAAGTTAAGTTGCTTTTCTCTTACACTCCAACAACTACTTCGGGCAGTGAACCCTCAGCTGTCGTTATTACTGATGATGAATGTAAGAAGTGTAAAAATGAAAACCCTAACTGTGAACATGAATATACTCCCGTGTTAGCTGTTCCTTCTAATATTCATCTACAAAAATATGTTGATAATCAAAACTTTCTCGAAGGACTTTTAAAAGATTGCACTAAACCACTTTTAATATTTCTGGTTGACGGGGGAGATAGTTCAGACCCAGTTGGACACAAAGGAAAAGACAACAGCACCCAAAACATAGTAGAAACAGTAATTTGTGGAGACCCAAGGAGATTTCCCAAGAACCAAAATGAATACTGTTGAGAAGAAATTCCTAAGTGTTATCATGAACAGCCTCATTTATTAAATCACAGTTCAGCTCAATTTTACTTTCAAAAGAAGTTGTTATTTACAGCTAATTTAAAGCATTTGTATGTCAGAAGGAAAAATCCTGGTTGGGTTTTGGGTTATCGAATATTAGTTAGAAGTAGCATCAGTGGTGTTTTATATTGTTTTGAGAGTGGAGACATTTTTTACAAATGAGAATTAAAAGTCCGTGGTTCGGTAATTAATGAAAGTTTTATTAGTCAATTGACCAGTTCTGTTTTACTTGGCTTTGTGAAAAAAGGAGGAAAGATGTTAGCTAATGGAATAGCTTCTTTTGTTCCTGGTGGGACATTATTTAAAAAAGGCTTCAAAGCAATAACAAGTCTTTTTGGTGGTAAGAAAGATGACAAGAAAGAAGGTGATGGAGGAGGTGATTTAAAAAATATTCTGACCAAAGAAAAATATGAGAAAATGTTGAGTATTGAACAAAAGAAAGGGAAAGGCAAAGATAAAGGACAAACTGAGCAACACACGGATCGAAAACAAAAATCAACAGCCCGAAGTAAAGAAAGAATAGTTGATCCAGCTATCTTTTATGCTAACACTGTTGATTTTGATTATGACTTTTGAGAATTTGCTAATCGGTGTGTAGCTAATCCATTTTATATTCGTTTTGAACATAGTGAAGCATTATATAATAATCTAGCCAATAACAACAATACTTCTCCTATTCAGAACATTCAAAATCGTTTTAGTGCTTTTAAGCAATGTATTAAAGTTGGAGAATGACAAGGTGAAGTTGATTTGTTTTTTGACATTAGTAATACTCTTGCTAGTGCTTGTGGAGCAGGAACCTTTTTTTATGATGATTTAGAAAAGATATTTACTCCATGAAGACCAAGATACAAAACACTTCAATCCTTCACTCACGGAGATACTTTTAATAGTGGCACGGTTCCTGGACAAGAGGATGTAGATATTATTCCTGGGGAAAGCAAAAAAGATGAAGCTACTTCTCACGACAACATTACTAAACATGATAATCGGGTGTTATTTATTGAAAGACCTTATTGTAAAAACTCTGACGGAGATAATGTGCTAGAACACATTTTACCTCAAACACCTAATTTCACAGGTGGAGGTTGAGACTACCAAGGATCATGAATTAAAACCTTTGATTTACCCCAAGACACTTATACTTACATGTGAAAAATCTGAAATGGACCAAAAACAGAAGGAATACATGAAGCTAAAAGTAATGTAGTTCTAACTTTGGAAATGAAAGAAGGAGGTGGGAAAGGTAAAGGAGATGGAGTAGTTTATTTCTCATTAGAAAGTGGTAGTGAAGACCAAATTATTCACCGATTTAAGTTTGATCGACAACAAGCCGAACGAGAAAAAGATTATGAAGCCAAAGAATATGATGAACCAGAATGACCCGATGATAACACCCAGTTCAATTCCAATATCGGAGAAACTGACCCCGAAGCCCTGGAAAAATTAAAAGAATTTGACCAAGAATTAGAACAAAAAGACTTCGAAGACCCCGAAAAAGAACTCAAACAATCCCAAGGAGAAACGGAACGAGACTTTGAAAAAGAACTGAAAAAAGAAAAGGAGAGGGAAAAAGAAAGAGAACTAGAACAACAAGCTGAGCAAGAATTAGAAAAAGAGAAAGAAAAAGACCGAGAAAAGGAAAAAGATTTAGAAAGAGAAAAACAACGAGAACGAGAACTCCAAGCTGAAAGAGAGAAAAAACAAAGAGAAAGTCAGCAAGAAAAAGAGAAAAAAGAACAAGCTAGAAAAGAAAGAGAACAAAAAGCCCGAGAAAGACAACAGCAAAAAGAAAGAACCAAAAAGGAAAAAGAAAAGAAAGATAGAGAAAAGAAGGAAAGGGAGTAAAAATTGTAAAATTAAGTATTATGGTAAGAGTTCAAAAGAATATTAATCAAAATGAGCCACAAATAACTCAAACTGAACAAGAAAAAGCAATTGAGCAAATGAAAGAATATTTGATGGGACCCCAAATGTGATTTTGTATAAAGACCAATAACCAAGATTTTAACCAAAGAACTCAACAAGGTTTTTATGAAAGGATAGGGATAAATACTCTTTCTCATTGACCAACTTTATTTTCCTATTTTCAAAATGAACCTGAAAAAATATCAATCCTTAATGACTTGAAGGAAAAGCTAGAAAAGATAAAGAGTAATAAATTACCTGATTATAATCGTGAAATGGCCAATGATATTTGTGATTATTTAATTGGGCAACGAAACCTTTCCCATTCTGAACAAAATGCTGAAAGATTATTGAGACCGTAAATATACCGAATGCCCTGAATGTGGCAAAAGGCAAAGGATAAGACAGTTTACGACTTACTTTGAATGTAAAGACCCTGATTGTGGTTATCGGGAAAAGGAATTTATTAAAATAAGCAAAAGAGAAAAAAGAATAAGGCCAATAATCGAAGAAATGGTTAAATGTTTACTGGAAGATGAAGAAGATATTGAAACTTTGCCGTTGGTTAATTTTCCTGAATTAGCTGGTGATAGTGGAGGAATTTGTGCTGGTTGATATGACCCTAATCTTCACACTATTAATATTCCTCGAAAGGCTTTTTATTTACCCAACCGAGAAATTATTGAAGATGTAGCTCATGAAAGTGCTCATGTCCCTACTGTGGCTTATATTGACATTTTTGATACAACAGGAGGTCATATTCCCGAATGACATTACAAATATATGGACTACCGAAAAAAACTTTATGGACAATATTTGGTCTTTGTTAATGAACCCGATGATGAAGCTAGATTTACCACAGGATTTTCTAAGAAAAAGTATAAGGAATGGTTTGGTTATGACTTAGAAACTTTTAAAAATGACCCCTATGAAGATAACTAAAAAATTCTTATATGAACAACCAAGAAATCCAACAAAATATTACCCTAATTAAAGAACTTTTAAAAAAACCTGATCTGACTGACCAAGAAAAAGAAGCTTATCAAAAAAGATTGAAAGTTTTAGAAGAATTAACTAACCATGACTAAAATCTTTGCTGTTTATTGTCCGACCTGTGAAACTGAAACACCTATTAGCACTAAAAATAAAGAAGTGTTAAGTGAGATGAAAGTCGAATGTCCGAAGTGTGGTTGATTGGATATAGCTTCAAAAGGAATTATTAAAGAAAAAGATTTTAGTGAGTGATTTTAGAGTTAGTTGCTTAGTATATTAGGCTAAAATTATAAATATGGAGAAAAGGGAATGTTTAAATTGTAAGCAACAACCTGAAAAGTATTATGCTGTTTCTGGTTCTACTGAAATATATTGTTGGAGTTGTTTAAACCAAGTGTTGGAACAAAACAAACAAAGAATATTTTTAGAAGTATTCAACGGAGCAACATTAGGAAAAAGCATTTGTCCTTGGTGTAAAGTATGATTTGAGCATGGCACAGCAGACGATGCCATTTTTGACCACTATTACCACTTTCACGGAAAAGATAAAGGCAAATGTGATGAATTCTACCATAAAAACAAGGAATATTTAAAAGGTTGAGACGGTGCCGAACTAGAAAAGAAAAGATGATATTGTGAAGAGTTGAGTTATCAGGATAGCAATAAACCAACAAATAGCAGAGAGAGAGAGAGAGAGAGAGAGAGAGCAAAAACTAAACCATGAAAACCTTTGAGTTAATCAAAAACTTAATCACCAAGTTTTACTTATTAGCTCCTTGCCTTTATGCTTTTTTTAACTATTTTTTTGTGATTAAAGCCGAGCAAAGGTGAAGTGTTGTAGGTTGAATTTGGTTAGTTCTTTCAGTGGCTTATTTTGGTGTAGCTTTATATTTAGTGGTGAAGAATTGTTTA